CTGCTACTCATTAACAAAAGAACCTCACTTTCTTGAGCATGCGCGAATAAACTTCTCTTTTCCTTTTCTTTTTATTCTTATTTTCTTTATACGGAGAGAAAATTTCCCAATAGAGGTATAAAAAAGATTAACTTGACCTAGAAATGCTCGACTTGACCTGATACTCGACTCGGCCCGAAAAATATGGTGCAAAATTAAATACAGTACGAGCAATGAGGAGTGTACCTTCTTGAAATTCTCCCCTCGAAACTGTTGGGTGTAAAGGACTTAGCACACAACTCTGCAAGAATTGTAGAATAATTCTCGCTGTAATTAGAAAATGCAAACTGGTTGGCTTATAGCCTTACAAAGAAAGGGAAAAAACTGAAAAAAACAAACATTCCATTTTTAGCTCTAACATATCGTGGATCATGGAGAAGAAACATTCAAACTAATAGCTACTTTCTTAATAAATAGGAATTATTAAAAAAAAACTCTAATGAGTCAACATATCCTTCCTTAAATTGATTGTACAATTGCAATTAGTTTATTCTGGTACTCTGCACATCCCAAGTCCTTCACGCAGTGTTTCAAAAACTTCAAGCTTTAACGGTTTTGTCATGATGTCTGCTATCTAATTTTGAGTGCTGCAATACACAAGCTCTAATGTTCCATCTTTGGTAAGGTCACGAAGGAAATGAAAATGGATATCTATATGCTTGCTCCGACCATGAAGTACTGGATTTTTGGATAGCTTAATAGTGGAATTGTTGTCACAATCAATAACAGTGCTTTCATTTTGAGCATGACCAAGTTTTTCAAGTCTTCGCATCCAAACTCCTTGGCAAGCACAAGAGGCAGCAGCTATAAATTCAGCTTCAGTTGTAGACAATGTGAACACTGGTTGCTTTTTAGAGGACCATGAAACTGCACAAGAACTGAGCTTAAAAACATACCCGGATGTACTCCTTTGATCATCCAAGTCCCTGCATAATCACTGTCAGTGAATGCTTCCAGCTTCTCCGTTCCATTCCTCTTGTACAGAAGCCCCAAATCCATTGTTCCCTTGAGATAGCTGAGCACCATTTTTACTGCTTGCATATGTAACTCTGTTGGACACCCCATGTAGCAGCTCACTAAGCTTATAACATACATAAGATTAGGTCCTGTAGCTGCCAAATACATCAAGCAGCCAACTACCTATTTATACTCAATTTCATCAACTTTCACTCCATTCTCATCCTTGGTCAACTTGCATCCAGGAACAATAGGATTTTTAGAAGGATTGCTCTCTCCCATTCCAAAACTGTCTGGCTTTGTACTTCTCAACAACTTCATTTTCATTCAATTTTGTCTTGAAAATCCATTTGACTCCAATGGTCTTTGCCCCAACAGTAAGGTGGTCAATTCCCAAGTGTTATTTTCTCGATTGCTGCTATTTCTTGATCAATTGCCTTTCTCCATCGAGCACTTTTGTTTGCTTCTTCAAATGTGGTTGGATCAGCTACGGAGGCAAACAACACAAAATTGGTTAGTTCTTCCTCTTCAGACAAACCTTCTCCACTTACAAAGTCTTCAATCCAAACGGGTTGCCTTTTTGTCCTCCCTGCCGTTTGTTGAATTTCAGATTGATTTCTTGTCCTCTCTACTTCTTGATCATCCCTCAAAGGCTGACTTGAGCTTGATGGATCATTTGAGGTAGCTTCTCCCTCTTCATCTTTTCCCTCTTTATTTTCTGTTTCCACGCCTTCTTCTTCACTTTTAGAGGCATCATCACTTCTTTCTTCCTTACTTTCTCCCCAGTCTAACACATCTAGCTTTACTACTTCATCACTTCTTCCCCAATCCCAACATTTATCTTCTTCAAATTCAACATCTCTGCTGATTACAACTCAATTTGTTGAAGGATAATAGAGACGATAGGCTTTGGATTCTAGACTTATTCCCAGCATGACACACTTAATGCTTTTATCATCAAGTTTCTTCCTCTTTGCTTCGGGTACAAGGACATGAGCAACACAACCAAATACTCTGAAATAGTGAACTGTTGGTTTGTGGCTGCTCCATGCTTCCTCGGGTGTCTTGTCTTTGATTGCTAATGTTGGACATCGTTAAGAATATGGATAGTCCAATTAACTGCTTCAGGCCAAAAACATTTGGAACACTCTTCTCGGACAGCATGCTTCAAACCATATTCATAATGGTTCGAATTTTTCTCTCAACCACTCCGTTCTGTTGAGGAGTATAGACTGCTGTTAATTGTCTGGTTATGCCACGTGTACTACAAAATGCAGTAAACTCATGTGAGGTGAATTCTCCTCCCCTATCTATTCGAAGATCTTGAATGGAGCAACTTGTTTCTTTTTTCAACAGAGCTTTTGAATATCTTGAAAGCTTCAAGTTTTTGAGACTTCTCGGACAGAAAAGAAACCCACACCTTTCGACTATAATCATCAATGAAAATGATTAGATATCTCTTTCCACTACTTGAAGCCGGTATGATAGGTCCACAAAGATCTGAATACAGCAGTTGCAGCTTGTGTGTAGCTCGCCACAAGCTTTTCTTTGGTATAGATTTCCTGTGTTGCTTCCCTATCATACAATCTTTGCATAGCTTACTCGGCATCTTCATTGAATGTAACCCATTCACCATCTCTTTATGTTGCAAGGTCTTCAATCCCTTGAAACTGAGATGCCCACAGCGATGCCACAGATGTGTGTTATCTTCAGAAACAGTTTGAAAACAGGTTGAGATTGTAGGCATCATGGTCACTAGAATGACAAACATTCTGTTTGTGGACATTGGAGTTTGCATGATCAACCCTTTTCTTGGATGATAAACTCCACACACCCCATCTTTAATTAGTATTGCAGCTCGCTTTTCTTGCAATTGGCCAATGCTCAGGAGGTTATTTTTTAATTCTGGCACATAATACACATCTGCGTTGACTTGTGCAATTCCATTAACATGAAATTTGACATTGCCTCTACCAATTACTGTCGTCTTTGTGGCATTGCCAAGCTTTACTGATTGACGAAATTGTTCATCAATATCAGTGAACCATTCCTTGTTTCCACTCATGTGACTACTACATCCCGAGTTGAGAAACCAAACCTCCTTTCTCTTGTCATCGTTGGAGTCAACATGTGCCATCAAGAGTATTTCTTCACTTTCATCTAATTCTGCATGATTGGCACCTCGATCCCATTCAGGACATTTATATTGAAAATGTCCTAATTTGTGATAATTGTAGCATTCCACCAAAGCTCTGTTGAATGGCTGTCTACCTCTACCTCTTCTTCTTCCTCGAAAGCCCCATCTTCCTCTACCCATTGCTCCGCTTCTGTCTTCATGTGTCACCTTAAGAACCTGCTCTTCTACCGAAGGAGTTTGCATCCTTTGCTCATGAACAAGCAAACTACTCTGAAGCTCATCGATGCTCATCGTGGTAAGGTTGTGAGATTCTTCGATAGAGCAAACTACATAGTTGAATTTTGAAGTCATTGATCTCAAAATCTTCTCAATAATTACAATTTGCTCCATGTTTTCACCATGTGCTTTCATCTTATTGGCAATGGTTAATGTTCGAGCAAAGTATTGATCTACAGTTTCTCCTCCCTTCATCTACAGTATCTCAAATTCTCTGCGAAGTACTTGCAACTGAGCTCGTTTCACCTTTGTAGATCCTCGGATATCTCCTTGTTGAGGATGGTTTCAATAATGGTTCCGTCAATGGCTTGAAATAGATAATTCTTAACTTTTAGATCCTTGAGTTTTGCCTCTTCAATGGCTTTGTGTTCTGCTGTAGGTTGAGCTCCATATGTAAATGTGGGAATTCCAGTTTCAATCAAGCTCTCCAATATTCCTTCGATCTTAGAAAATTCTCCAACAACATTGACAAATGGTCATAAAAACCATCAAACCGAGGTATGGCAGGTTGAACAAAGCTGCTATCTGTTGCCATAGCAAAAACTCTTTCAGAATATTTTCTTGACACTCTCACTCGTGTTTCACACTTTCTTCAATCTTAATCTCAATCTCACTAAGGAAGCTGCTGTTCCTTAGGCTCTGATACCAAATTTGTTGGGTGTAAAGGACTTAGCACACAACTCTGCAAGAATTATAGAATAATTCTCGTTGTAATTAGAAAATGCAAACTGGTTAGCTTATAGCCTTACGAAAAAAGGGAAAAATTGAAAAAACAAACATTCCACTTTTAGCTCTAACAGATCGTGGATCTTGGGGAAGAAACATTCAAGCTAATAGCTACTTTCCTAATAAATAGGAATTATTAAAAAACAAACTCTAATGACTCAACAGAAACAGTGTTTCGGCTTTCTAAAATCCAAAACTACCTCCATTATCTCTTTAGCTAAGTCCACAATAACTCCTTCGACTCCTAGTAGATACAACATGTACACCACCTCTTACTGCAAGTTTGCGCATCATTTTTCAAATTTCAGATTACAGTATAACCTTAACTCTATATATAAACTGTCCAACCGGAGAATACAAAAATGCGTAAACTTACTTCAATTGTCCATAAGTTATGAGGGAAAGCTTTGTACGAATTATATACAAATTATTCTTCATGGACTTAATTGATCTTCTTACATAGTTTAGGTCCTCCTTTGTAATAAGAATAGTTTGGTTAGTTCGTTTTCATTTTCCCTCTTTCTCTTCTATTAATACTCTCCATTGCTGTAGCTTCA